ACTATATCAAAGGTGACTCTGAATCTCTGAATTCCCTAAAATGTACGTTTTTTGATACAAAGAGGTGACTCGTGACTCGGACTTGGACTCAAACTTTGTGACTCTCTGACTCGGACTTGACCTGGAGGACTCGGGACTCGGACTTGAGAAATGTGACTCGGACTCGGACTTGATGTTTTGTGACTCGAATACAAGTCTGCATCTTATTGACTATTAACTGTGAAAATTTCACTTAAATTGCAAACTCTATTCCCAATTCATGTCTATTTCAATAAAACGATCGCAAAACTTGGCTGTCCACCGCTTATCAATTACCGTGCTGCGAACTGATAATACATCTCCCAATGAGGATAATGAAACATCAATTATTTTCCCACCTCTATGAATGAACGAGAACTTGCAAAGGAAAAGATACAAAAATCACCATCGATATTTCAAAGAAAAAAGAGAGTTAACTTGCTTCTCATATTCAAAACACACAACCTGATAGTAAAAATTCTCTTGATTTCAATTATTAAAATCTCATTTGTATTTGAATACTTGTGTGTAATCTGTAATTCTCACTTAGCTCATTTAGCTTTCAATATTATCACATTCCTTGGACAGTTACACAAACGGGTTCTTTTAGTAAAAACATGCATAACTTTGGATGGCATGATCAAATTTAGTGATTGGTTTTGTTTAAGATGAGTGGAAGAACATGCTCTTTTAAGACATATTTCTTCGGTGTATCTTAGAATTTGATTGCTTAAGTAAAAAAATCTTGAGTGCGGGTCACTTTTTTTTTTTATCACCTTGTATAAACACAATGTGAACATGCATCTCTCATACACACTAAACTTAATTGTCTTCATTTTCTATCATCCTCTTTCTTTTTCTGTCTTTCCTTCTTGTGGGGTAGCCCTCACATTGAGTGGCATTTATGCCTTGTAAAGGGCCGACTTGCATAAAAAAAAACAATTACATGTACACAATACGCATGTTTAATCTGGAGCCAATCATTAAAACTGAAACAAATTTAATTCTCAGATTTCATGTCAGTGCAAGTAGTGAAACTGACTTACATGCATCTGCTTTGGTTACAGGAACTGATACTACAAGATAGTCACATGCATTAAAATCGGACAGAAATGTTGGGGGAAAAAGAAGGAAAAGAACAAGAAACTTTCTGTTTCAATTCCACTTTGCTTAAGGTCTTACAATCCCTGTAAGTATAAATCTGGAGTGATCTTGAAATAGAGAAGAACATTCTTTGCTGCATCTGAACAACATGTGGCTCACGGAGCTCAATGCTACATTGTGCATGAACTATGGGTGATGGCTACCAAAACAGCTCCACTCCATCAACTGGGTGGAATACTGAAATTGAAAAGCATAGTGAGAACTTTTACATGAGTAGAGAAAGAACTAATCAAATAACATGGTTAAGTGTTGAAATCATTGCACCAATCGGCCTCTGCTTAAACTTTGTCTTTCTCTTCACAGTCATTCGAGTGAAGTCCATGCGTACAATCATCAACATCTACTTATCCAATCTGGCTGTGGCTGACTCCCTCTACCTTATAACTGACTTCATAATTGCACTGTTTTCACCTACAGAGTCCAACTTATTGGTCAAAAAGGCAATATTAAGTTTCCAAAGCACGTTCCTCGCTACTTCTAATTTCTTTGTGGTTACCATAGCAGCTGAGAGATTCTCTGCAGTGTGCAATCCTATAACGTTCAAAGAAAAAGCCTCTAAATCTCGAGCAGCAAAGATATCAGCAGGACTCTGGGTGCCAACAATTATTGTTGGTGTGATTCTGATTTTTTTACCATTAACAGACGCTGTCTTCAATGAAGTCAACCTTGGGATTCTTTCCATTATTAGCATTGCCTCTTTGATAGCAACTCTTGCTTTGTACATCTATGTAGTATGGAAAGTATGCAAGCAATCTGCCCTGTTGCCGAACCGTCCCAAGCAAGCAGGCAAGGTCCTCTGCATGGTTATCATCAACACTGCTGTTTTCTTCATTCTGAACTCACTGACCGTTGCAGCTACAATTATGGCAATACATGCACGTGTAGTGGCATCCAATTATACTTCAACTGCTCAGATTGTTGCCAATCTGGAACTTGCAGAGACAATACATATTCTGACTATATGCATTGTAATTTTGCTACTGACCAATAGCTCAATTAATTCCCTAGTCTACAGTGCCACAAATGCTGACTTTCGTGAAGCTGTAGTCAAGGCTTTCTCATTCCTGAAACTGTGCTGTCGTTGTTGCCCAAGACAGAATCCCAGCCGACCATCGCAACCAGGGAAGCAGATTGAGCTTCATGTGATTCCACAGGCAGAAAATGACCAAGAGCACCATGCTGCCAGGCCAAGCAGCAGCAAGCCACCAAGCCAAGGGCATGCACAACACACAGCGAGTCAGCAGTCACTGGACAGCTGTCAAGAACAATGTTCCAGGCCAAGCAGCAGCAAGGCATCCATGCACAGTCAGCAGCATGTTCAAGTGCATGTTGAGGTACATGCAGAACCAGCAGGGACCCCAGCGCTTGCAAGTTCTCATCAGGAACAATGCTCTAGTCTGACTGACTGCAAGCTATCCATGCAAGAAAAACAGTGTGAACATCCAGAACCAGCAGAGAGCCAGCAGTCACTTGCAAGTACTCAGGAACAATGTCCTGGGCTGACTGGCACCGAGCCATCAGCACAAGGGTAGCAGTATGCACATCCAGAACCAGAAGGGATTTAATCTTTGGAAAGTTGTCAAGAACAATGTTCACTGGTACCTGATAAGTGCAAGCTGTCTTTAAGGGCAGCAGTGTGTAGAGCGAGTGCTGCTTTTGAACTTGCTGTGTTCAAAGTGTAGAGCAGAAGTAGATTTGACATCGAGAAACATTAACAGCACATTATGCTGGAGTTGAAATGTGTTTTACTTCAGTGAATTGCCAATACCTGTACGCACCATGACATCAGTAATGTGCAGGCCCGCCCAGAGCAGATTGCAACCAACTATCAGTAAAGGGAACAGCTGGTATTCATGCAATGTATGTATGTAAAAGGTTCAGATATTAACAAATCCTAAATAGTTTAATTATTTGAATCAAACTTTTGTTCGTGTTTAAAGGTAGAGTAGATCATTTGCAGCTATCCAAAAAGTAACTGACAAAATTATTGTTAAAAGGCTTTTGGTTTTAATGGCACTAAACTCCCTGTGAAATCATTCTTTCTGGCATGCTGTCATTTTAAAGGAAACAATGAAAGAAAGCAATTTTTAACGATGCATCATGTTAGTTCATGTAGTTGGTTTGTAAATTCGGTGAATCCATGAATATGTGCGCACAAGCGTCGACACGACGCACACTAGGTTGCTATTATTCATCAGTTCAGTGCATGACATCGCGTAGCTGCAATTGACTGAATGAGAATGTGTCCCTGGGGCTGAATTCAGACACAGTATAAAACATGACTCAGCAACTTTTGAATTGAACCTGAGATCCTAGAATATATGTTTGGAATATACTGCATTCACAGAGCTAAAACTTCATCATGTTAGTTGTTAAGCACCTGTTTTTAGATTTTGAGCACTTTTGTAGCTTCAAATGAAAAAAAAAATGCACAAATGACAAATGATCTACCCTTCCTTTTAATGAGCAAGTTTGTTACTTTTTTCAGTGTGAAAATGTACAAGTAATGGTACTAACATATGGGTAACCCTGAAAGTTCGCTGGAAATAAAGAGGTTTTTTTAAAGTGCTTTTGAAACAGATTTGGAGGTTTTTATTTTAGGAAATGCACCTCTGTATTCCAAGTCTTTGGATGTTTCAGGCTTTTACATATTTTTATGATGGTGCCAAGATGCATGTTCATGAGAAATACAGTGATGTCATGAGCTGGAACTTCAGTGTCACTGCTGTTTGAGGGGACAATATGTAACATAAGTGTTTTGATCAAGTTTGATGTGACTGTTGCATTCATTAGCACATAGCATGCAGCCAATTAGATACTTAAATGTACAAACCTTTACACAGTATGTACAATGCAATCAATTTTAGGTTCATAAATTATACAGAAAATCCCAAAGCTGTGAAGTGTAAAATACCTAAATCGACATCACAGCAACATTAGAAACAATTGTGAACATGTGCACGGGCATTGCAAAAAAGTGTGCGTAAAATGTGGTCATTACTTTCATACAAACACAGGGCTGGGATATTTCATGTTTTAGTGAAATTCATTTTACAGCCTTTTGATTCTGTTATTAACAGACCTTGACAAATCCCAAGCATGGAGCACAATACATACATACTCCTAAAATGGCACAAACTGTATGGTTATTCAAATTAGGTTTTGCCCTTCACCGACGTTTTTATGAACACTGTATACTCAGTGTGTTACCTCCCGAGTGAAAGTTGGAAAAATCACTCAGGTGGGACTCGAACCCACGACCTCCTGCTTTCTAGTGCAGATGTCTTACCACTCGACCACCGAGCTAACGGGATCGGTGAAGGGCAAAACCTAATTTGATTTATATCACCCCGACGCAAAATTCCATCTTATAATAGTTTATGCGGTACCCGCTGCTATGTACATCAGATTCGAACCGGCCAACCGATCCCGTTAGCTCGGTGGTCGAGTGGTAAGACATCTGCACTAGAAAGCAGGAGGTCGTGGGTTCGAGTCCCACCCGAGTGATTTTTCCAACTTTCACTCGGGAGGTAACACACTGAGTATACAGTGTTCATAAAAACGTCGGTGAAGGGCAAAACCTAATTTGATTTATATCACCCCGACGCAAAATTCCATCTTATAATAGTGTATGGTTATTGTTATTGAGGATTCAATGATAAGGGAGCAAACTCACCGCAAATCCAAAGTGTTTTGGGAGATTTTGGATCTCAATCTTGAAGATCTCTGAGGTGAAGTGCTGTTGTGTCCGATAGTGATAAGGATCCGTTATGGCAGCGCCAGTCACTGGTACGTCAGAGGTGCTGGTGGAATGGTTATCTTGTGGGTCAAGACCTGATGCACAAATGAACAGATTAAAAGACCAACTCCAATTAGAGAAGAAAAAAAGATTAAATTGGTATTTTTTTAGGTATATTAAAGTCTAATATGGGCAAGTGAGATGTCTATGGCTATTGTCTAGGTCTTCACCCAAAACAATTACATGGGAACAATCTGACAATAGCCGTAGCATAGCTCTAGAAGCCTGTTTCAGACACAGTCTAAGTAACAGACAAACAAAGTTGCAAGTTATGCATTAGGAGCATCTGATTCCAAATACATTACACCAATCTTTGTGCACACATCGTCGGTTTGCTCACGAAGTGACAAAAACCTCGAAAATCGATAATTATTCGATTTTGAGTTTTACTAGCCATTTTATTATAGTTGTCTCAAGGAACAATTTGACCAAGTTTCAAGGCAAAATATTGTTTACTTTCTTAATTATTGTAAACAAACAATTGACAAAAAGCCTGAAATCGGTGATTTTCATTTTTAAGTGTAAGAAAGTGTAAAATGTTCTCACTAAGTGACAAAAAGTCACCTCTTGAGCAGGGCCGGAGGAATTATACATTGGTCTACACGCGGCAGGATGGGAGCATACACGCACGCGCGAACGATGTTGAAAAAGAACAGACGCGCGCGCGCGCGCTCAACTTTCCTGACGCGCAAAAGTAACAAGTTTGTTGCATCGAAAAAAAGTACAAATAAGTAAAGCCTCCGCGATTCATGATCCCACGAAGTGACAAAAACGGTGTACAAAGTAATTGGCAAAATATGGGAGCCAAAGTATTGATGTTCTCACGAAGTGCAAAAAAGTTTTATTAATGAATTACTGTTTAATTACGAACTATTTTTAACCAACAACTATGAATTAACAAAGAGCAAATCATATCCTATCGGACAATGCAAAAAATTCCGAATTCTGTTACTGCAAAGTGGTCGAAAATGTCTTTTGAAAAAATGAATAACTTCAAATGCGATAATCTCAGGATGAACTTTTGTCAAATTTTCAGGTTTTTATCACTTCGTGAGCAAAGCGATGACATGTTGCACAACGTGGAAAATGCTTTTTGAAGACCATTCTATCTTTAGCAAGGAGAAATCCATTGTATAGACTTTTTGCTGCAGAGCACAGATATATAATATACGAGACCATTGTAGGCTTTAGATGTACAGTATGGGATTTAAGTCTGGTGTATTAAAGGTGTTTACACAGCTACTAGCTGGAAAAAATGTAGTTGATAGTTAAAGTCAGCAATGTGTTCCCCACTTCTGTCAATAGAGCGTGCAAGTTGACCTCAAAAACCTAGGTGATTTTACTAGGTATATCCAGTCAAGGGCAAAGAATGGGTTCTGAACAAGAAATAAATCATTCCAATTTACAACACATTAAAAAAATTTTGCAAGTTGATTACTAAAGTAAATTGAAAAAAATGTGGACCTCCACTTCCTTTCATTGGGTGAATTGGGTGAATTCAAACACGGGAGTCTGTGGCTAGACTAGTCAGTGTTTGGTACCAAGATGTTCACATGAAAAGTGAATGTGAACTGGCGAGACTTGCATGCTCTATAATTGTACATAATCTGTGTAGCACCACTAGTCTGTTGTATTACATTATGAGCTCCATGTCTGTAAGATGTTTAAATGCAAAGCAATATTCTAATATTTCTTTTAGATGGACTCAAGGGTACTTCGAATTTGGGTAATTGAAAAAACAATGCTGTAAAATATGAATGTCGTTGTAAAGTTAGCATCATACAAGATGTATCTTAATTTGCACAGTATCCGAGGAATTGCTGCTTTTTATATGTTCATTAAAGCTGCTATTTCCTTGTGTAATTTAACACTCTAAACACAAATAATACAGAAATGTACTATCACCAAATCGGTGTTTGAGCTCTTACGTCTTTCTGATACCTAGTAATATTTGGAAAAAAAAGTTGCAGGGCAAACCATGTTTCTAAAAGTCACATACTTTTTATAGGACAAGCAAATTTGCATGTAAAAGCAAGATCAGTGATAAAATAAATAAAAGTGTACACTAGCAACATTTAAATAAACAGTGATTTTCCTGAATTTTGTATTGAAAACCTAATTCTTGCTTGTACAAATGTAATTGTTGAAAAATCCCTATTGAGTAAAAGAGCTTGCTGGTCAATGTTGAAAGTACAAACATATACCCGCAATATTCATGCCACAAAAGTAAGCCAACATATTGGTTAGCAAAGGGGATGACAAGGGTTTAAGTCTTTTGTGGCTTGTTTCTTTCTTTTCAATAATTAATTCCTGACAGACATAATAGACAATGCACAATATGTACACCTGTCAATCTTTCTGTGTGTTGCATTCTGATTGGTTGGGATTGATCAGCAGTAGCTACTAATAGGCCACGCCCCTCGACAGCCGATCCAATCAAACATAAAAGTTGATCTACGTCTTTTGCAAAAAGGAAACTTCAGAGGAAATACTTACCTTTGTAAGCGCCAAGCCGGAAACCAACAGTGTTATCTGTAAATGAAAATAATAAGACATGAAACTGAAACGTTTGCACAATCTATCCAGGGCCAAGTTTCATGTAGACCTGACAAAAATTTAGGGGAATAACTGAGAAAAAAAATTCCTGAAACTTTCAGTTGCGGTGTTCATAACACGCAGATTTTATGAAATGTTATGTCCATTCCAGGCAATGTGCACTTTTAATTTAATGATGCAGTGCCTTGAACACCAATACTGGTGGATACATGTAGGTGTGCTCTATCTTAAAAAAAAACCAAGAAAAGAAACGCTTTGATGTTAAACTTTACTTTCATTTAAGAGTGCCTAGGGTTGCTCTTTGCTTCTCTCAGAACTACAACTTCTTTGTAAAGTCATGTTGACAGGATTCAACAAGCAGCATTTTTCCCAACACATGATGATGCCATTGCCCATACCCCACCTCTGGTCAAAACATGGGAGGGGTGGTGGGGATAAATCCCCCACCCCCTGGTGTTTATGCTGTATTAAACCATTGCTATGACGTCACACTATTGTTCAAAGTGTGGATTCGGATCTACGAATCTCTTACACTGGTCACAAAGTGTGGACTCGGAATTACGAATCCACACTTTGAACACGTCGGACAATTGTTCTCCATAATGAGCATGAATAGGACCGTCTGCGTGAAAATTTGCTTCCCGAAAATTACCACTGCATCTTCACTGTCAGAAAGAAATCGTCGTCTGAACTATCCATTTTAACGTAAGGAGCCTATATACACAAAATGACTTAATTGGTTGTACGGGTGTGTCGATACACATTTTAAACACGTCAGGAAACAATGTTGCAACCTGACGCCACTTCCGTGCTTGTGTACAACGTCTATGGAGAATCATTTTAAGTATTTCCTAACAATTTTGGAAACATTTATCAGTCCCAGATTCATGTCTTATCATTTTTGCAACGAATGGCCTTCATTGAGATGGTATATGAAGAAAAGAGTGGTGTCAGGTTGCAGCATTCTTTCCAATACTTCTGTTGACGCAATGGTTTAAGTCGAAGAATACACTCACAAGTGTGGATTCTTAATTTACGAATTCACTTGGCGCTTCGCGAATTCTTAAATTACATATCCACACTTTCTCGTGTATTCTCGTTAACAGAGAGACCCAGTTTGTCAGTAAGTCCAGGGACAGTTGGTCTCAATTTGCCCCTAAATGAGAGAGTTTCTATAAGCAGGGGGTTGGGGTTCACATCCCACCAATGACACTTCAGAGTTGCCCAGAAATCATCAAATCCAAAGGATGCAAAACCACAAAACGTAGAGGTTGGATGAATAAAAAAAATGAATGCCAGTTTCACTCACCGATGCCATAGACACTCTTTCCGATGGTAAACTCACACTTGTTGCGATAACTCTCTAATACTGGCTGTTGATGAGGAAACAAACAATGAAAATTAAAGGAACAAATCAGACATCTCCAATGTCGGGAATATTTATCCCACAAAAGATTCACACACCGTAATGTTAGTCTATCATAAAATCCTGGTTGAAATATTAATTTAGTTAAAGGTGACTCTATCTAGCTACCCAAGGTCACATCAGTCAAGCTAACCTAACACTAACTATGTGCCAAAGTAAACTTATGCTGAGATTTTAATTCATAGAACCATTCACTATACTACAGATGAATTAACATAAAAATCAAGTCTTTGTAGTCAACAAACATGATCTCTTAGCTTCCTCACCGATGGCTTAATTGGCTCCAACTCACATGCCATCCCACTGTGGTTCTTCCTGTCAATCAAATGAAGAGTGCACTATTATTAAACATGAGGGTGTGGGTTCAAGTCCCTGCCAAGCTAGCTTGTGAATTTGTTCCAGTGGTTCTCACAGCTATATACATACAAGATTCAAACTGGCTCTCCAACCTTGGCAAGCTCTTTTGTCAAGTTGTTAAAGGCCCTGTCACACTGTCACGTCCATGCATGGCGTTCATATTGCGTAGTTGAAATGCTTAAAAATGTAACAAAACACCATAAAGATGCAGGATTCATGGCACCAGTGGCTTGCAATGCGTTTCTGTGAAGTCCACCGGAAGTCTACGACGTCCGTGTGGCGTTCCATAGCGTCTATGCGGCGTTCTCTATGAGTTCCATTGAAGACCAATTAGAGGTCTGCGCAGCGTCCTCTGTGTCCTCGCTGTGTCCTCATGGCGTCTAATAAGTTCATACCATGCTCTTGGAGTTCTTATCGTGCGCTTGATGCGACCTTAAAACATACGTGTTACTTCAGCAGCCAGAAGCGCGTCGTGTATAAATACTCGGGCCACAATTGGCGATAGTCATTGAGTCTTCACATTTTGAACGGCATAGACACAGGAGACGCAGAGGAAACGCGCAGTCCTGATGCATGCGCGTCCGTGGAGTTCTCGCAACGATGCTCACGTCTGCCTGCGCGTTGCCAGTACGTCACGGCCGTTCGTGAGGAGTTTGCGCAGAGTCCTTGCCGCGTTCTGGTCAAAACGCTGAGGTGCAACGTTTGTTTTGTGCATATCCAAAATGAACATGGCAGTTTGGTGTTCAGCGAAGTCCTTGGAATCTTCTGAAGTCCTCAACTAGTATCAATGAGTCCCCACGCCGTCATCTGCATTCCCACCGCGTTTTAGTCAATTTTCTTGGTAGCAGTACAAACTCCATGCCAGAACGTGACACTGTGAGAGGGCCTTAAGATGTCTGCACTAGTAAGCAGGAGGTCATGGGTTCATATCCCACCCAAGAAAGCTTTCAAATTTGCATTGGTGAATGGCAAACCAGATATTAACATTAACAAGTCCCCTACGTAAACAATCCATTAAACTCATTGGTTGTGGTAACTGCTATATCAGATTGGAACCAGCCAGTCAGCCCCAGCAAGCTTGGTGGTCAAGTAAGACATCTGCACTAGTAAGCAGGAAGTTGTTGGTGCAAGTCCCACTCAATCAGCTTTTGTAAACTTTTTCTCGTGAGCTTTTCCCTTCGTTTTGTGTGTGTTTTTTTTTTTTTATTCTACAAGACTTGTGTGTGTGGAGAAGGGAGCTTATTTCGTAAAATTTGTTAAAACCTTAACTGATTCTCAAACAAATGGGCTACATTTTCTGGGGTTTTAACAAGTTTTCAGGGCAGCTCGCCATAAAACTGTGTTTCCAAACAGTTTCTTGTCAAGGAAGATCACATTTCCATTCTGGCCCACAACCATCCCGTGTCTTTGGTGAGTAGCTCACCTTTGTTGCTTCAGACAGGGAGGCATCTCCCCAATGTTCCGTTGCAGCATCTTGGATAAATTCCTCAGAAACTCCCTGGTGTTGGTCTGTTTGGTGGATAGCTGGTCCTCACATGGCTGGTTCCACAGTGGAGTCACCGTGTTGTTTAACCTGCAGATTGGGAGAAGAGCGAAAAGCACACTCAGTATTTCAGAGTCTGAAGAATTTCACGATTGTGAATGCTTCAATCGCTATTACCCTTTTTGAGAGATGGCAGACACAATCGAAGGGCGCCATTTGATTTGGGTAAATTTGGGGTCAATACAAAAGACTCACCCAAACCAAATATTACCCTCGTATTGTGTCCACCATATCTCATTATGGGTAATGGATAGTGAGTGGAACTTGTGATCTTTCTACATACAACCATTCTCATAACTTCAGTTCGTAGTTCTGGTGGTGCATGTGCAAAGTAAATTTTAGGCTTGAAACACTAAGGGAAATGTGTTCAACTTGTAAAGTTTATCAGATAAAATAAGAGTTATTTAAAGTGTGAATCACAAACTCTACACAGACATGGAAGCTTTGATGCTCTCCCTTCAAGGAGAATAAATGACAAGGAAGAGAAAAAACTGACCACGTAACTATTCCACTTGACAAATTTCATGTTCACAATGTCAAATGAGCTATGGAACTGACTGGTTGGGCTCTTAAAATAGTCATCTCTGGATGTAAGAATGGTTTTCTTGTGATGATCATGAACTACTTGAACTACTCAAAAAAATCTACTACAGTGAAGGAAATCACATTCTTTGAACTTCCACTTTCAAGGGGTATCAAGCCTAAATGGCAGTATAGGCAGGGTCTACCTTCCTATATCCTACAAATTCCTCCAAAATAAATGGACAGGACAGAACAGAATTGATCAATTCCATCAAATGAGCCTTTTTCTACACTTGCATAATTTTTATACCACAGAGCACAGTGGAAGAAATGAGTGTTGTAATGACTTCAGTTGGTTGAGAACCGGAGTACTTTTCTAATGGATGGTGGTTCGAATCCAGCCCAACCCTGCATTCTATCTCAATGTCTTCACCTCTCTTCTACTGGTCAGCTGTCCTCCTCCTTCCTCCTCTTAGCTTCTTGGGTGTTTTCATCAGATTCCTCTTGGCTTCTCTTCAGAGCGAGGCTCTTAGTGTCCGGGTCCTCAACTGACTTGGCGAGCTACGGAAAAGAGTTATTGCAGGAACATGAACCTGTAACCACAGCAATAGCAGCCACTAGACCCCTTGCACTGGTAGCCAACACTAAGACTGTTGATTAGTTATTTCAATTCATTGAAAGTGCCAACAGTTCTAAGCAAGTACTAATAGTAAAAACCACAAGTGACTTTGTGAATACCTTGGCTTTGAGCACTAGTCCTTTCCATTTGCGTCCGTTGAGTACTTTCAATGCCTCCTCCTTATCTTCTTGGCAGCTGAGGGATGAAACAAACAATTGGATTTCCATCAGTTAATCCATCGCAAGCAACCGAGTGCAACAGGAAAGGAGATACCGTAGATGGAATGTTTGTGTTGTGGGGGAGGATTTTTTCGAGTTTTATCCCAAAAAATTATATTTCTTTTCTATTGTACATAACATTACATTGTACATAGCAGCGAGTACCGCATCTACCTATTCATAAGATGGAATTTTGCGTTGGGGTGATGTAAATCAATATTAGGCTTCGCTCTTCACCGAAGTATAAACACTGTATATTCATTTCTGAATTGCTTTTTTTCTAGCAATACAACAGATATTCACTTTTGAACACAAAACAATCAGTTAATGTTTAGTTATTGAATTATTACTTTACAATTTCAAATTATTGGCTGACAGAAGATATTTCTGTTCTCGAGAGGCTGCCTGGTTCCTGCCCCACAACCAGTATCGATAGTGCTTGGACGAGGAACCAGTCTGCCAGCAAAGTGGATCAGTTTGTCCCGAAACCAAAGAGAAAAGTTCATGGATGCTTTGTAAGTATAACAATTGAAAACAGAAGTCTAAGTACACTTTCCATTTCAAGGAGGAGAGTGTGGTTTCAATGCTACTGTATGTTGATGGATTGACTATTTATATCTGTATTTTAAATTTCTTTCTTGATTATCCAAACACCAAAACTAAAACTTGTATCAAGTTTCCCTGTGCTCTTATTTGTGTTTCATTACATCAGCACACTCAACTTTCACCCTTTAAGAAGCTCCCATGTCACTCACTCCTGACTAGGATTTTCTGGCGCCAGTTTTTCTTTCATGTCTCAAACATTCATCCCTATCTTGCTCATTATTTGTGCTGGCAAGTTTCCTGAGCACTCCAAATTCCAACTAGAAAAACCCATGGCACAGTCTTTGCAATTTATAATCATCATTAAACAATAGAAAAAGGTAAGAGATCCACTCTTTGCTGGGTTCGAAAACGAAACCTTTTTCCCTCCATTTTATCAAGAACAGAAAAATTAAAATACATTGGACATTTGTGAGGATTTAGTACAGCTAAAAATAGATTACACCTCCCTTTCGGAACGAAGAGAAATACACACATGCATGACATGGGCAAGCATTATGAAAGCAAGCGTAACGTACAGAGCCAGTTAACCTTGATATCTAATTCATAAATACCTAAGACCATTTACGCATTCCTATTGGTCGAGAGCCCGTCACGTGGCCGGTCTTAAACGGATGATAAAGACATGGCTAGCTGGTCGTAAACACTTTTCTAGTGTCACATGAAATTTGGACTCCCATGAAATCCGGTGCCTATTACGTTTCATTGGTTGAACGCTCAAATTCCCCACGTATGCATGCGCAATACTACCAGTGAATCATAGTCCGATATTCGTACTACACCAGTCCAGCTGCGTTTTTCGCGACATCGCACAGTACGCCCGACCATGGTGGTGAAATGCGCGACTCGCAGGCAAGAACAAAATATCTCGAAATTAAATTCTTTCCAGGATAATCAATTAATTTGTTTAAAAAATGCATCTTTAACAGTGTGATAAATTTTAGTGAACATTCTATGTACACACACAAGTTATTTAATTTCTGGCTTGATAACGTCAGTGAATACTGATTTAGTTCGGAGTGGATGTTCATTGTGAAGTTAAAAAACGTATGAAAATTTGGAAAATATAAATGTATGTATTCATAGCACCAAACTTCTGGTTTGATGACGTCACAGTATTTGGATGCAAAGGTCAACATTGTCATGGATATCATTTTTTGGGCTACAAAGATATTCATATATCTTCATAGCCCAAAGAAGGATCAAAAGATACAATTAAATTTAGTTTATCGTTTTCAAATTCTCCTTAAAGTAACGTCCAGTCTGATGACATCATGAATTTGAAACCTTGTCAAGTTATCTGTGTTTAATCAGAGAATATCAAGGGGTGATTTGGTTAAAATTTGAACCTATGGTTTAAAAATGAAAGAAAAGGAACACTATTTTATGTGCCGCTAGGGACGTGAATTCACCTAACTTTGACCTTCTGGTAGAACCAGAAGTAAAGGTCAAACGAGTTCACGTACACACACAAAAATATTCATCAATTAATGGTCTATCCAATTACAAGGTTGGAACATCATTGATCATTTTGTTCAAGAGTTATAGATGAAAGAAGATCGTCATTTTTTAGCGAAAATCGCTTGTAATTTCACACCCGATGACGTCATAATATGCACCATTTAGGATGAGAGTCGATATATATTGAAAGTTACATGTTCCTATCTTAAAATGTTTAGGAGAAAACCCGCAGAAACGTGCTGTACAGAAAAGAAAAAACTAGAACGGCGAAGCCGCCATGGCTCGCTGTCAAAGGCAGGAAGGGAGGCTGAAGGTAGGGTTGGGGATGGGCATGATGGAAGGGGATCAGGATTCTTGTTGATGTGCCTAGGTGTAGGGGTCAGTTTTTAAATGTCAACATAAAAAGTTAACAGATTACCTAATAAATACATGTGTATATAGGTTAGCCGTCACTGTATTATGGGGGAGTTTTCCATTGTTAGGGTAATTAGGACCCAGTTGTGGATTTTTGCAGCGCCAACAGTGTCTTCTGCCCCCCATACTTGTATTACCATGGGAAAACTCTTGTGTAGTCGCCACAAATGCAGAACAAGAATGGGTAAACATGTACATGAAGACACAGCACCATCACCACCTCCCCCAAACCTTAATTACTCCATCCCAAAACCTGACCCCATCCCCAACCCGCCCCCTCCCCCTCCCCCACCCAACCCCCTACTCACACCCATTCCATCCTCCCCTAACCATCCCCACCCTATCACCTACACATCCCAACCCCACCCAAACTCCAATCCCTATCTCCTTCCCCCTCCTCTGACCCGTACCCTCCCCTACCCTAGCCCTGGTGGACTCCCTTTCCTCCCTACGTTACGGAGCGAGTCCTGAGTACACATGTGCTCACAACCGAACGAAAACATTTCTTACCAATAATTTCAATATTTTTACCTTGTTGGAGAAGCTAATTTTACGTCGTAGTATTTTATGTGTCCTTATCTGTTAGTACGCTAGGTTCAGGAATTCCATATGCGATGCTGACTGACGTCAATCAGGAAAATAAACTCGAAAGCATCGTTAAACTTGTACGTGTTTAGTCTCTTTTCATCAGTTTCTCACCGCCGAGTCTATTCTAGTCGTACATCATACCATGAACGTCTGTGCAGCGTGTAGTCTGGTTCCCTAGACCGGACAATTATTCTCGACGCTCATATCACATCTGGTCCGAGGGACAGACTATGCCGCATGAATATGCAGTGCGCACGCGCGATTTGCTTAGTAACCACCCTCATACGCACGCGCACTTACTTGAAGGCGCGGTCGCTAATCCAATAACCGAGCGTGTTTACGCGCCAGTTACCAGAAACACGTTTCGGCTTTGGTCATTGGTTGAGCGTTTTCGTGACATCGGTTGGCTGGAGTGACGTCACGGTTCCAACCAAAACTAAACAAATGAGGGCGCTAGCGTGCGTGCGCGCTTTCGGATCGTACGCACGTACATTTGTACATGTACATTGTACATGATGCATGACGTACGACTCTGGGAATAAACTGATGAAAAGAGACTACAAACACGTACAAGTTTAACGTTGCTTTTGAGTTTATTTTCCTGATTAACGTCAGTCAGCATCGCATATGGAATTCCTGAACCCAGTGGCCAATAGATAAGGATACATAGAGTATGTAGGCGTGAAATAAGCTTCTATAACGAGGTAAAACATAACAAAACTCTGGTAAAAATGTTGGGATGGTTTCATGTAGAAAAGTCTTGTCCTGGACGTTAGTCGTATTGCAATGAAGACTTCGTCCAACCTGGGCTATCCCCTACCCCAACCCCCTACACCTACCTACCCTATCTTCCACTATCTGTCCTTACCCACCCTACACATCCCCACCCTAACCCTTACTCGAATTCCAATATCCCGCCCACCCCATTCCCCCACCCATACATCCCCACCTGACCCCATGCAACCCCTACTCTGATCCCTATATACTGCCCCCTCCCCTTATCCAACCCCTACAATAACCCATCCCTACACATCCCCAACCCAACCCCTACTCCGATCCTACATGTATATCCCGCCCCCTGCCCAACCCCCTCCTAACCCAACCCCTACATCCATGCCCATCCTCTCCCTACCTGTCTCTCCCTACCTGTTACCACCACACCCCTACAAATCCCCACCCCACCCAAACCCAGTATTCCAACCCCTCTCCCCATCCCACCCCACCCCACCCCGCCCCACCTATCCTAGCTCCCCTACTCATCCTACTCACACAAACCCTAACTCCAACCCTATCCCCCAACCCACCCCACCCCACCCTCCCCTACCCCATCCTTACTCCAACCCCATAAACTAAAAGATCAAACCAGAAGCTCATGCACATCCCCAAAATGCATAGTGTACATGTACATGTTATACCGGTATACATACACGTACATGTTATACATGTACCTGGTACAAGTAACAATTAAAAACTTTAACATTTCCTTGAATTAAATTAATAAAATTTACTGCAATGATATGAACCTAACTGAAGTCATAGAGATGATACATGACAACTGCATTTAATTTTTTCCCCAAGTTAACTAGAACCAAAAACTTCAACATTTTTATCTGAACGCGGACGGACGGACGCCCGGACAGACGGACGGAAATTGGTATTACATAGGCTCGCATCTGCTTCGCAGCTCGCCAAAAAGGAATAAAGATTAATCGTAACAAATCCAATGAGTGGTCGGGTTGTGCCCAACCACTCAATAAATGTAAAAAACACTAGATATTTTAGAAAACACTGTTAAAACAATGAAACTTAAAATTACAAAAACAAGACCCACATTTAAAATAGATAATAGTAAAACCTAAATACGAATGCCTTTGTAAAAAGAAAAGTCTTAAAGCTTAGTCTTAAAAACTGTTAGAGACCCTGAACAGACTGAATTTCAGGTGGCGGCT